TATGACAGATCAGTGAACAGAGGACTAAGGAACCGGTCATGTCTCAGTGGCAGCATTCTTTTTCTATGTTCAACTACATCTAAAGCAAGAGGAAAAAGAGGAAGAGAGACAATATGTTTGCCTTTTTATAGCCTTAAAGAGTGCATCCTAACAAGTGTTTTTGCCAAAGCCAATTGACGTAACCCACAATATTCCCATACAAAAATTTACCAATGGCAGAAAGCTCTAAAAATTTGACATAATGCTCACACCTGGGTTTTACACTCAAAAGAAAAATTAGCTTCATTTAAATCAATCTGATTTTGGCAGACATAGATCACACATTCATTCAAACAGAATAATTAACCAATCTGATGGTTTTGTTTAGTTTAGAAAGTCTGTGAGCCATTAAGCATCTTCAAAACAAATAAAAATCATGTTTGCAACTGAAAAAGCTAGTAGACACTCACCTCAAAAGATCTAATTAGTACAACAGTAACTTCAAAAAAACACTGCTGACCTACTCATAACTGCCACAGACATAAGACATCAACCACTATTTAATTGCTTTCCTTTTTCTCCTTCTAACAAACTTCCTCTCTCTTAGCAGCATATACTCTCTCTCTACATATATACATTTTTACAGAACACTTTTAATTGACATAAAGTCAAATTTAAAACTGTGAACTCAAAATAACATTTCTGTGAAATCTTCTCATGCAGTTTTGTAACTACACATTTGCATATAATTTATTGCTTGGCTGCTAATATATGAAAGTTTAACATTTTTATTTACAATAGCTACAGTTTTATTTTCTTATTCATTTTTGATGTTGTTAGAAAGTAAAAATAATTGTCTATATTTCTGAGATGAAGTACTCTAATCATTTACACTATTTACATTGTTCAGACTGTTGTCCTCATTTTTATTGTCACATTCACAACATCAATATCACCTGAAGAAGGCTAGAGGGTAAAACAGCCAAAGTGTTGTGAATGTGACAATAAAGATGAGGACAAACAGTGTAAATAGTAAAAAATGTTCCAAATTCTGTTAGTTGACTGAAGGCTAAAAGAATATTTTTTGTCACCCTAAATATTAATCTTGGGTCTCTGACAATCTTTTTCAGATCAGTATGTAGAACAAAGAATACATTGCAGATAAGTCTGGAAGACATTAGTTATAAGTTTGTGCCCAGAAATTTCCTTCTTCATATCGATGCACAGATGGTCAGTTTGAATGAACTACTGCATGAAATTGTAGTCCATGAAAATGGCTTTAGTTTGATGCATATTCTAGGGCTTTTTTGTTCTAGTTCTTGTTATTCAAACTTAAGAAGATAAATCTAAATTCTTATATATCTTGAAAATTGATGCAGTAATATAAAGGATGAAGGGCACAAGGAAAAATATACTTGTAGCTAACCAATATTTGTTAGTATTTTGACATCAACCACTTAATACTATATGTATTAAGTGATCTATGCCTAGAAATACCCAAAGTCTAAAGCCAATTTAATGTCAATCAGGAACTTTTGATCTAAGAGAAGTTGATCTATAGTGACCCAGTATGTACTGGGCTCACTTTAAGAGACACCAAAGTAGGATTTGTACTTGGTGTCAACTAGAAATTAAAAGAGCAAGGTGCCTGAAATGTTTAACCTACAGGGGGCGATGGGTAAATTGTCGCCATTTTATATTTTTAATTTCATCCATGCATGTCGTTTGTTTTAGATTTTGTCAAATACAGAGCATAGTAGGGTCAGTTGGGCATCATCTGTGAGAAAAAGAGCACCATGACACAATTAACTACACCAGAAATTTAAAAACAGCAGGCTATACTGCTTGGCATTTGCCCCAGAAGCTCTAATACAAACATTTCAGAATGTTTGGGTATCAATATGAGGACAGTGCAGAGGATTCAGAAAGAGTTGGATGAGTCTAATGGTGATTACGAAGGTGTTTAAAGTGATCACTAGTGATGACAATGTTATGCCTCCATTCATCTTCCCACAGGGTTTCAGACTCAACATGAAGTCCTACATCAAATACCTTAAGGTTGTAGTGCTGCCCAGGGTCAAGAGGGTGGCTACTGAAAGACCCTATGTCTGTCAACAGAACTCTGCACTATGCCACACAAGCAGGAGAACCCAGTCATAGCTGTCAGACAATTTCTGCAGCCACATCACCCCTTACATCTGACCATCTAACTCCCCAAACTGCACCCCCCTTGATTATTATGTGTAGAGACCAACAAAACTCTCCTTGTAACACCAAAGATGAACTGAAGGCAAGCATTATGGCAGCATTCACCAATGTAAACTAGGAGACCATCCAGAAGAGTTGCAGGAGATTCTGAAGTCATCTGGAGGCCAAGGCTGAAGACAATAACGATTTTATTGAATAAATTTACTCTTTAGTATTTCAAGATATTTTTGCGTAATTTTGGTAAATATATTTGTTAAAATGAGATGTTAGTATTAATGTTTGCATAATTTAGGGGACAATTTATCACTTGCGCCCCGTATAAGGTAATCTCATAACCAATAAGCGCAGAATTGGGCCTCAAGGGATGTTCGTGGTTGCACTAGCATAAAATAGACAATTGGATGAGAGAAGGTTATATAAATGCCTGACTTGTAAGAGGAAAAGTCCCTTACATCCTCACAAGAAAAAGATCAAAAGCTTGAAGAAAGTCTCCAAGAAACCATATATCCTTACAGGCAATGTTAATTTGATGTAGTTCAGAAGGGAATAAATAATAATATTGCATATGAAAGATTTAGTCTTGTATTCTTATCAGACATTGCTAGCATAAAGTAATACATATAATAAATACATGGTATTGTAGTTAAGTCATGACTATTTTGATATATACTAAGCTCAGTTTCTTTTGGCACAAGGTCAAAAAATGGGGAAATAGTGAGTGGAAGATTATGCTGCACCAATCCTTTAAGTTAGAAATGTTTGCTTGCACAATATCATTTTGTTTCTTAATCATGTAATGTACAAATATTAACATGTATGATACACATGTGTGCATGTGTATGAGGGATCAGTCAACAGAGGACCAAGGAAGCAATCATGTTTATTTTCAGTTTTTGTGTATTATGTATATAAGTTATGCTCGACAATTTTTTTCTTTCCAGAATCTATCTTACATATCTATAAGTCTATCATTTGACCATGCTTAGAATATTGCTGCTACATATTATTTAGAGATTCTTGATAAAATCCATAGGAGAATCAGCAATATTATTGGTTCTGACCTGGCCCCTCAGCTTCAGTCTCTTTCCCACCACTGTAAAGTTGCTTCCCTCTGCCTTTTCTATAAATATTTTCATGATAATTGTTCAGATAAATGCTTTGCTATGCTTCCTAGACTTTGTGATTTTAAGCGCAGCACTAGATTGGCAACAGAGTCTCATCAATTTACAGTTGAATTGGCAAAAGATGTAGCTATAAGTGTCTTTTCTTGCACTTCTTGCTTATGGAGCTCTCTTCCGGCTCAATGCTTTCTGACCAAACTTTGATTTTCAAAAAAGTTAAATGCAATAACAATCATTATCTACTGTCTTCCTGGTTACTCTTCTATTGTTCTCACTCCTTCATAATGTTTTCTGTTTTCTAATTCTTTCACACCTAGTATCTTAGTGGCTTTACTCTCTTGCTTAGGGTAAATTCAATTAAAAAAATATCCTAAATCTATTGTAGGGATGCAGAGGGCAATTACCTCTCTTTGGGTAAGATGAATTCACAAGGGTCATGTGACAGCTGGTAAGTGATGTCAGTTCAGCTGGTGACAAATCCCAATAGCTATGTAGAGAGCAAAGAAAACAAATGTCATCATAAGCCTGCAACAGTAGGCTGAACAGAGGAGAGCACATGATCCTACCAAAGAACATAGAGGACACCATCAGCCTGGCTGTGTTCCATTTGTTAAATATTACAAATAATACCCTCTCAATTTTCACCCATTCACACTGCTTGTTGCATTCATATGTAAATAGTGACAGCTATATACATATTTGTACATAATATCTCATATGACATAGAGGTATATAAAATCTCTTTGAAAACAATGCATATTTGTCATTCATTTCTTTCAGCTATTTTGATCCTTCCTTCCATTGTATTAATATATTACGGATATACTAATACCTATAATAGGGAATTGCAAATTGAAAATATTCTCTCTTTCCTAGCACCCTCATTATTAATTTGTTGGTGAGCAATAAATATTGTGCATCCCTTGATATAGTAAATGTGTGTCCATGGTAATCATAATTACCATGGACACACATTATATCATAATCATAACTCATACACTATTCTGGTGCACTGAACCTGTCTATCAATGATTAAAAATGACTTCCATTAAATGAATCCTCTAGGTGTTAAAGAAGACAATCCTTAATCAGACTCTATAGATTTGTGCTATAAGATTATAAGTAAAGAGATATACTAAATAAAAAAATCTAAATCACTTAAACATTTCCAACAACAAAAATGTTACTAGAAAGGAAAATAATGACATAACCAAAGTATTGACTTTCCATATTACCTTAAAAGGTTTAGAAAGAAAAAAGCATTAATCCTTGAAAGAAGAATAAAGTGGACTTGAGAATTCTCTTTTTCTGAAAATCTATTTGAAGAGAAAGATTTTATAAATTTCAACTGTGAGTAACAATAACTGTTTTGTCAGTGAATGCCAAATGCTGCCTGTATACTTTTTGATTGATTGATTTATATTCTATGGCTTATCAACTCTTTGCAGGTTATTTAAAGCCAGAAAATACTTTTTTAAGATTGTAAGAAAATTTTTCTTTTTTGAGATAATAATGGTTTAGTGATACAAATCTTACTAATCAATCCATAGCTGGTTTGAGAAGAGATGGGTTTATACCTTTTCTAAGGTTATTTGCATGTAAGTGAATATAATGAACCCAACAGGAATTGGAACTTGGCTCTCTGATTAACAATTTAAAGCCATTATTCATTACACCATCCACACATCCAAGCTTACAGCACCTGGTATTCCCAAGTGGCCACCCATCTAAGTACTTACCAGGCTCAATGTTGCTTAATTTCAGTGAATGTATGGAACTGGTGTTTTAATGTGATATGGCTATAATCCTTTCCTGTATGGAAATGGCTAATTTCATCATTGCCATTATCATCTGGATGAATCATTTTGTTATGGTAACTGACAAATGGATTGTTATAGCTGAATTTTTCTTTACTTTAAAAATTAAAGTTGTTTGACTGAAATTTGGCTGAAGAAATATCATAAGAAATTTTTTAAAATTGTACTATATGGTTAAGAGATTGATTATAAACAAAAGGAGTCATAATGATGAAATTTTTGTCTCCATCAAAATGAGATAGCTGTATTCACATGAATAAAAGAACACTGTACCTGAAAAACTAAGTTAAAAAAGTAACCTTTATAATCAGCACCATGCTTATTGTTATTGAAAATAAAATGTTTTTATTTCTGAAAATCTGGGCATTAAACTCATACTAGTATAAAATATGTTGTGCCTTGTGGTGTAATTGTAGTGATCTCGCAATCACAAAAAATAAAATAAAAAACCTAATTCCCATGATTCCATAGAAAAAAAGAAACCATCCTACTGAAAGGGAAATTTAGAGTCATTCTCTTTCACCCAGTCCCTCACAAAGAGAGTACATGGAAATGAAGACCATGGATAAGTCAACTTACATAAATACCACTTTCTCATGTTATTGCCTATTACTGACAGATTTATCACTCCCAAATAATCTAATTATTCACCAATGCAAGCAAAAATCACTAAATTTACTAATGACAATATTTCAAGAATTTTCATACATCTACTGAACTTGTACAACAAAATCCTTCTGATAAAGGAGGATTTTAGGAGTGTAGAACCACCTCTTAATTGCAATTATTCCCAGGTCCATCCTGACCGAGGGTGGTAGCACCTGTTAGGGTCCCAGCTATGGACAAATAATGATCCCCCTAAACTGGGGACAAAAAATGAAAGTATAAAAATACATTTTCACAGTGACAAATTCCAGCAATAGATTTTTGTAAATGAAAAAAAATTACCAGCAACAGTAAAACGAAAAACTTACCAGCAACAGTAAAACGAAAAAATTACTCAAGCTCCCAATAAAATTAAATTTCGGCATTATATGACCCATAAGGAGTTGATATGACATTAAACAAACAAACAAATCTTTCTGATAAATCCTATCATAACTAAATATGCGTAATTACGTGATATGCTAATATAGCCTAACACCATGTTATGTGCATATATATCTATCATATTCTGCTGAACCAAATTACCAGCTGGCAGCTGAACTTTTTAGTAACCGTTTTTTTTTAGATTTTCTACAAGCTCTTCTCTATTTTAGTACTAGGTCTAGATGATCTAAGGCTGTTTTAGATATCTACAATGCCTAGAGGCTAGAGCTGTCAAGTGTTTGCCGTTTGATTAAATTAGGCCTATAAAAAGTAGATATCTACTAAGCTTATGTAAATTATATTTATAAAAAACTTGGCCTTTTGAGATCTATATTTTAATTGAATTGGTGGTTGATTTTGTACTTTTGTAGAGGTTTAAATGTGCCTTTCCTATAAGACTTAGTCACTTAAGGCTAGATCTATTCTAAATCTAGTAGAAAAATAGCCTCGATCTAATTAATATGCCTACGGAAAATGACTTACTAATATGTTCAGATTAACTAGATCTACTAAATCTAGATCTAAATTAAATTGAAAAAATAAACATTTTCTTGGATTCTAATTTTTAAATAATAATACTTAAGTATAACTATAAACCTATAAACTTATGATTCAGCCTGAAAATGAAGAGACAACAAAGTTTATTGGGGTTTGTGCAAAAAATCCCTAGAATTAAAACTTCAAGGCATGAGTCGAGTGAGGGTGGAATGGAACCAAATTAAACAAAAAAAATGTCTGGTTCTGCTTCTGGTTCTAATGTTGTATTAGATGGAGAAAATGCTGATGCAACTATTAAGACTATTCAGCATGGAAACAATGCAAATACTGACATCGTACAAGGCAGATGCAACAAGTTTACTTCCAGACTGCTGGAGCAATGAACAATATGAAAATTTTCAGAAAAAATATGATGGCTTAATAGTTCGTAATAAATTAGGATATAGTTACTGCACAAAATTTGATTCTATAAACGTGAAGGGATGTCATGTCTCATTAGAATGGAGAATGTGCAATATTGTTGCATCAGGAAGAGATAAAGTAATCCAACAAGCATCTCTCCAGAAAAAAAATGAATGAGCACTTTTCATCAAAGGCCCACAGTATTTGCTTAAAGCAACTGCAAGATCATGCAGATGATACAATTACAAGATGCATTGAATCAGAAACATATTGAATCTATGTGCAGAGTTTTCAATACAGTCAATACAGTTTGGCAAAGTGAAACCGGACATTTTCTAATATTGAAGATGAGATTGAGCTGCAAATAAATAATAGGTTGGACTTAATTCTCGTAAAACTGCTGTGAAAATAGTTGATCATATTGCAAAAGAAATTAAAAGTTAAATATTTACAAAAATTGCTGCACAAAATAAAAAAAGTCTGTGTTATGATAGATGAAGCCTCAACGATATCTAGTAAGTCAGTGCTTATAATCTTTGTGAAAATTGAAGATTGTGATTTATCACCAACAATTTTCTTGGATTTAGTGGAGTTAGAGGGTCAAGGATCAAAACAAATTTATAATACCACATTGGAAAGTTTGCACTCTGCTGGATTTGATAATGAATCCTTGAGAAATAATTTGATTGGTTTTTGTTCTGATGGTGCAAGTGTAATGCCTGGTCACAATTCCGGGGTAGGCACTAGACTTAAAAAAGATTTAATAGTAATCTGGCATTGTTTAAATCATTGTTTCCAACTTGTTTTGGATGATTCTGTCAATGATATAAAACAAGTGAATCATTTTAAAATATTCATAGATAAAATCTACACAATATTTCACCAGTCAAACAAAAATCAAATGGAACTCTTCAAAATATCTGAAGAACTCAGGCAACAAATTTTGAAGATAGGTAAGGTTTTGGGTCCAAGATGGACTTCTTGCAGTTTAAGATCTGCACTTGCTGTGTGGCATGCTTATTCAGCATTATACAGATATTTCTCCACTAACACAAAACATTCAGGGTTGACAGTCTGTTTGTGCAACAAAAATTTCTTGAAGGGCCTGGCTTTAATGATTGATATATTACATGAAATGTCATTGCTCAGTAATGCTCTCCAAGCAAGAAGCACAACATTGTTTAGAGCAGAAAATCTCATTAAAAGTCCATTAAGGCATTTGAATTGGTGAAGGACAATATAGGGACATATGAAAAGGAAATTGATGACAGAGTTGCTTCTGATGCATTCAAGGAGATCAAGTTCATTGAAAACCACAGGTTTGTTAGTCTTCCTTGACAAAAACTATTGGATGCAATAATTGAAAATATGAAGAAAAGATTGCTGATTGTTGATGAGCAACAAACAATGAGCAAGAAAACTTCATTGAGCTATTTAACTTGCTTGATGAAAAAACTTGGGACATGGAAGAAATCCTTGTACCATAGGTGGCAGCAGAAAGAAAAACTTGATAAACTTAATCAAATATTGAAACATGATGTTCATGTGAATGAATTCAGGGATTATGTGGAAAATATTCTAAGTAACTTTTGTGCCAGTAGTACACAGCATATGCATGTATTTCCACAAAGTGTACAAAGAGCCAAGAACATTATTAACACCATAACAATCAGCTCTGCTGAAGCAGACAGGGATTCTTGCTAATGAACATAATGTATACACACAAGAGAGGTAGTGTAGCAATCATCATTGCCATCACACACACATACATACATACAGATCATACGGCAAGCATTCATTGGCTAATCTCCTCAAAACTAGTTTGCTGATTGGTCAATTCTGACCAATCAAATCGCCTGCATGCAAGGAATAATTTTCCCGCGAACAAGGATGGAGCCTATCACATGAGACACAACCTTATATAAACAAAACACGAATAAGCCTTTCTTATTCATCTTTTTCCTTGCTGCCAAGATGTAATCTTCTAGAGCTCCCGTCTTAACCGTGTGGTCAGATGTTAAAGAACATTGCCAACAACTCTTACCAACTTTCTCGCAAGTCATCAGTAGAGTCCAGCTATTTACACCTGTCTACACAAATCCACGACTTTACTCACAATGCACACACAGACACAGATTTTTGTATCACATTATGCATATTCTTCCTCTCTGTGACTAAGCCAAGTTCATGAACCAGCTCTCTCTTAATTTCTCAAAACAACACACTTCTTAATTAACTGTATTCTATTCTAACACCAGACTCTATTCAACATGTAATCCTGAACATTCTTATTCAAGAGAAAGTCTTTCAAACATTCAATCATAAATCAGAATACAGTTGAAGGGGAACAACTTTTTTCTCCTTAATCATTACACTTCATTGCATGATTGTTTTGTATGTTATATTTCAATATATATTTTATTGTTGATGCACAATTGGAGTCTCATTGTTTTTTCTTAAATTGTTAAATATATAATAGATAAATGCTCTTAGAACATGCAATTACATTTGATAACCTCAATGTATAAATCAAAGCAGCATTTACAGTAGCCTCATTGTTAAAAATGTATCAAACTTAATGAGAATTAATCAAATTGGCCTCCCATTAGATTTGTGGGATTCTACACTTTCAGTAAAAGAATAATTACGAAATAAAAAACCCATAGTGCTGATGACAGCAGAGTAAAATGAAAACAGGCTAAACACTATGATGAAAATCAAGTGGCTATATGGAAATATTTAAAGTGAAACTGAAAGAATATTTTCAATAAAAAATACAAAGGTAAAACATTTTGTTGTTATATTTCTTTATTTGTCCAAACAGCAGCATGCAATTTAAATACACCATTAAAAATAGTAAATTAGTAAAATATTACATGAAAATATTCCAGAATCTGTTATTTCTTTCTTGTTGACCTTAAGGGTTGTCTAAATTAAATTTACTTATTTTTTGTTTTCTGGCTCACACCCTGCTAGACACCTTTATACTTGTCC